AGAAAGAAAGAGAATGTATGGTAGTGTGATGTCCTGGGAGGGATTTATTGATTTAAACAGTGAGTGCCTGCATTATTTATGGATTCTCCTTTTTCTGTACTTTTTTTTAAAGATGGTAGCTGCTTGGCACCTACTTCAGTTGAAAAGGAGTTATTTTTGCTTCTAAAGAAATAAGACACTGTTTTCAGATTTGGGCAATCAGAACTCAAATTGCCTAATATTGAAAGCCACTTAAAAATGTGGCCTTAATTCACCTGAGGCTATGCAATGTGTGATTTGAAGAGTCAGAAATAGTGTCTATTGGATGATGCTGCAAAAAAAAGGAGTGATTTTCTAAGTATGCCGCCTCCTTGATTCCCATTTTTTACATAACTCTCAGAGCAATTTCTTCATACCTGCCAAGATAATCTTTGATTCTTTTTTTTCTTGGCACAATCTGTTAATTTTATCTGCTCCTTTCTGTCATAGCTGCCTGTGCTCTTAAACTAACTTGAACTTCCTTTAAGCGGGTTGTACACATCCCAGTTTGTTTGGAGCCAGATTCACTCAAAAATCTCTCTTTGTCATGATCAGAATGTTCAGTAAGAATATGTGTTCTTTTTTTGTGTTGAGCAAAATATTTTGCAATAGAAATCGTGTTGTAAAAATTCTCAGTGTCCATCCTAATTTGATACTTCTGTGGCCATTTTTATTCCAGAATTTCCCAAAAAGCAGAACTGTTGATTTTTCCACTGAGGATAAGCCTGGAAAATATACAGTATTTTGTCACTAATATTAATCAAGCTAAATTTTCTTTCTTGAGTATGATAGGCAGAAGCTAACTATTAAAGAAATTCATAACTGTCAGTATGTTGCCTGTATGAATCCAACTGCCGGCAGCTTCACTGTAAACCCTAGGCTCCAGGTATGATTTTAATTGTCATATTTTAGCAATCTTTTTATTTCGTATTTAATACATAAGGTAATTATTTAGCCTTTCACTGCAATGGGCATGAGACTAATTGGCATAGGAGAAAACATTGTGTCTGAGACTTACACAACTTCAGAATCCTGCTGTTCCTGTAGCTAAAAAGAGATAAAGAGAAGCCATATTTGTTATGGTATTGAGAATCCCCTGAATTTCATAGCAATTGCCGTCTTACTTGGTCCTTCACCTGGCAGATGTGTCCTTGGGGCCCTTAGCCAGGCATGTAACTGCTGTGGAACTCCATCAAGAATGAGGCTAGAAATAAAGTGTTTTTTGTGACGTGACACTCAGGAGTCTGTATTTTCTCCATGTTGTCTTGTCATTTGGAGCTTGACTGACTCTTATCTGCTCTCTTGTAATGAAGAACCTTTATCTCGTTTTCCCTTTTCATTTTCAGAGTCATTTTGCAGTATTTGCTTTGAACTTCCCTTCTTCAGATTCCCTGATTACCATCTATAGTAAGATAGTTTCCTTCCGCTTTCAGCAACATGCTTTTGCTCTGTCAGTATTCAAGAATATTGCAGCAATAGTACAAGCAGCCATATGGCTTCACCAGACAGTCGTTCAAAACTTCCCACCACTGCTATTAAGTTCCACTAAATCTTTAACCTGAGCGAACTCTCCAGTGTCTTCCAAGTATAGGTTGATTTTCTACTTAAAGACATTATATTATTGCTGCTCTTTGTTGTTTCTAATGATATAAATGCCTGTGGACCAGGGAAGAAGAGATGCCTATGGTACAAAGTAGCAGATAGTCCCTGAGGTGATTATGGTCAGGTAGAGAGGAGAAAAAAGGTATTTAATGTAAATAGCAAGATTTGCAAACTATTGCTCTATGTTTACTCATTAGTTTGACAAATGAAAGACTAGGTGGAAGGAAACAGAGTTTGAAGAAGCTCTAGAACAGGGTCTGAAATCAGTAGCCAAACATCAGAGTAGGAATTAGTGTGGAAATTGTGTGAAGGATATGATACCATCAGCAACTTCTGGTCCCTCTTGCAAAAACAGGTGAGTCTGATCCGGGATTTTTGGTTTGTTTTGATGTTCCTTGGAGTGCAGCTCTGTCATCTTCCAGAATATTTTTCTTGCCTGTAACCCCATGGATTGTCTGGAGCTGTTAGCAAGAAGGCATAGATTTGTCAGGTCTCCTATTAATGCTGCCCTGTATAACCCATACTGAATTTGGGTGATGACGTAGAAAATGCTAATTTTGTCGTGATAAACTGAGTCCTGTTTTCTTGGGTGGCACTACAAAAGAGGGCTGGCAAACGTGTAGAAGATCCTGGCAGTACTGGTTCTCCCCTATGTCCTACACTGCACCAGAGCCTGAAACTGTAATGAATCACCTAGGTGTGCCAGGCAGTGGAGCGCAGACATTTGTTTTAGTTACACTTTTCCAGAGTCAGCTGAAAAACTTGCTAATTTGCAGAGAAATTCTGATTCACGTGAGAGCATTTATAGTCTTAAGCACAATGTGTTTTGGTTAGCTAGTCAGTTAGTACAATTAGCGTCTTTAAGGAGAGAGTGTTTACTGCAACCCAATGACCTGACACAACTTTGGCTTCATGAATCAGCGCATGTTTATGGGGATAAACTGGTGGAAATCAAAGACTAATTTATTTCGTAAAATGATGGCAGACGCTATGCGCAAGTATTTTGAGGCATTGCAATAGCCTAAAAATATTTTTTCTTGGTGCTGATGGGTTGAAAAGGCTTTATTGGTGCCATTATGACAGAGTAGACTGTGGCTCTGTGGTTCAAGATAAGCTCCATTTTGTTTGTTTAAGTAGGAATTCATCCTCTTTTCTGTCACACAGAAATTAACAACACTTAGTCTCTGCAGTTGGAAAAATTATCTATTATTCTGTAGACAGTCTGCCTTACCTGTTAAATAGTTAATGAAGTAGTGGGTCTTTATAAGAATAGTCATATTAATCTTTTGTTTTGGAGAAAGGGAAAATGCCTTTAAAATTAGGTTAATCTACTACAGGAGCAAATATTAAAATACATTAAACATATAGTTACTGAATGATGCTATTGCGTGGGAGAGTTAAAGTTCTTGTACATTTTAAAATCTAGCCTTGTACCTTTTAAAATCTTAATCAGCCTAGATTTCTCCTAAGTGTGATCTTAAGATTGTTTTCATCTGTAGGTTTTTCATGTGTATTCCTACCTTATATCAGTTTAAGGTAATTTTGTTCTTTTCCATGTGGGGCAATTTCTTAGTATTGATCATGGCCCAAAGTCCCAGTTCCAGTTTCTGAAAACTGATTAAGTACATCTGCTTTTTTTCTCCTGCACAGAAGAAAAACAGGCAGTTTTCGGGAACTGAAGTGAATATTTTGCTGAATCAGTGAGGCTCAGACTTCATCTTTGCTCCTTTTCATTATGTTATAATCTTTCTTTAAGATGTCTAGTCCCTCTGTTGATGTGCAACATCAATGATTTGCAGAAAGATACAGAGACCCATGCTGGCAGAGCTTATTTTTGTTAAGGCAGTTTCTATTATTTGCAGTGTCAAATCATTTAACATGGAACCTTTTCTTCTCATTGAGTTGGACTAGAATTTCAGCTTCATTGTTGTTTTTCACTTTGCACATACTCAGGCAGGAGCTGTATAAGAGAAGGCCTTGACAAAGCAGCCTATTATAGAAGTTTCTCTCCGAGAGGATTAAGAAAGAGCTTACATTACAAAGATAATCACATGGATCTTTCATAGGGACTGTAGATTCTGTTCTGCTGATTGAGGGGTTGATGTGACAATCATCAAAATGCAGACAGAAGCCTTCTCAGGTATCACTAGTTTTTCTTGAAAATGTTGGTAAGCCATTATCTTCTCTCAAGTTTTGTGACTGAGAGTAGTATCCCAGTCTGACAAACAAAAGCGGCAGGGTGTCTTAGCCTTACAATTTGGCAGTCCTTGAAAAGAACATGTGAAATTGAATCCTATAAAGTTTTTTTTCCCATCTTTTATACATTTTTATGAATCTATTATGAAATCATGAATAAGGCTAACATAGCCCTACAGTGAGGTCAAAGCAGATTGGCTTTCAGCAGTATTTTCATGGGATGCATTTCTGCCTCTTTACTAGATGAATCCAGATTAGACATGTTGTCCCTTTGTCTATTTAAGAAAGTTCACATGAATGTTTTTTTCAGAAATGATTGTTTTCAGTGGCATAATATATGAAGAGAATGAGAGGATGGCTTCCTGTTTTTTCATTGAGACATTGAAGCGAAAAGAAGGAAAAGGTCTGCTGTGCTGCCAATAACCTCTGATCTGCTGATATGAGGTAGTAATCCCTTAGAATTTGAATCTGATTAGAAAAATGAGATTTTGAAAATAGTTTTTAATTGTTTGTATAAATTATTAAAATATCAATTGGAAGACTTTTTTTTTTAATCTGTCTCAGACATAAGTTTTGTGGAAGGAAATACCTAAATACTTACATCTGAAAACTCTAGCAACTAAATCTCGTCTAATGTTTGGGCAAATTCTTACCTGACCTTATTTATCCTACAGTATTCCATGATCACCGAAAACATACCTTAAGTAGCCTCAGGTGGGAATTCCAAGAGTATATTAAAGTTTGATACATATATTTCATGAAGTGATTCTGTAACAAAAAATCATATTCCAGCCTTCATGGTACAAACTACCAGACGTGATCTAGGGCCTGATCAGTCTCCTTTCAAGCTAGCTAGATCTTTGCTCTTAGTCATGTCATCATCCATGAGGCTCTTGGAATGATGCTTTGGGGCAGCTCAACATAAACAATGAGCTGTGGTGGTTGTAAAGTGCTACAGATACCTTCAACATTTGACCAAGGAAAACAGCTTTTCTATCTGCTTGCTCAAATTTTGGAAAGAAATGGAAAGCTGACATGAAGATAATGTACCTTTAGGTGTGAGGAACACATTAGCACGAAAATAGATACTTTTAGTGTGATAAAGAGAAATTGAGAAAGTTGGTTAATATGGTTCTTAAAGTCTATGTTGTGTTGCTATTTTTTGTCATCAGCTGCTGGATTAGTCTATCCTGGAAGCCCCTAGGGGTTATGCACTTCTGATTGGAGTAGGTGGTAGTGGTAAACAAAGCTTGTTGAGGCTGGCAGCATACATCTGTTCCCTGGAGGGCTGCCAAATCACGCTGAAGAAAAGCTGTGGGTTCCAGGACCTCAGGGTAACCTAGTAGATATTGAGTCTATTGAGAGTTAACTGCTTCAGCGTTGTGATGTTTTGTTGCTGCACAAGCTTGATAAAATCACAGGTGAGGTAGTATAATTTACAGCAACAGCCCTTGTGGTTCCTGTGGTTTTCAGCAGTATTTCTTATTTTGTTTATTTCTGAAAATTGGGTGGTCAAAAGATATTTTAGTATCTGTTTATGTGCTTCACAGGATCCGGTAATTTTTTCCACTCTTCCCAAGGTAGCTACTTCACACAGCACAAAGATCTGATTGAAATTCTGGTATTTAAATTTAGCCATTATTAAGAGTTTTTGCATGTTCTGGGAAATTTCTTGATTGAGTGGAATAAAATCGTGGGTGAATGCAGAGCAAAATTCTGGCCGTGCTGCATGTCAGCCATTTAATCACTGAAACTGCTCATAGGCAAAGGCAAGAAATACAGATCAGTGAAGTGCTGTCTAAGGCTTACAGGTTCTGGCACCCTGCAAGGCTGAACCCTATGTGAACAAAGAGGAAATGAGGGACCATTTTCTTCCTCTTCACTCCATGCAGACAGCGAGCAGTGTTTCTGCATCTCATAGTCAAAAGGCTAAATTAAGATCTGATTATGCCCAAATTTGATGCATGGTGGCTCCCAAAACACCTGTCTGTTAGCCTGGGCCATGGTCAAGCCCCCATAGCATGTGCAGCCTGAGACATCAGCTTTGAGAGGGAGGTACACACTGTTGCATTTTGGAAAAGCAATGCCTGTTCTTTAGTGTCTTTCACTTGTCATGCCCTCCTTCCTAGGACAAATGAGATGCTGTCTAAGGTATAGGCACAAGTGGTTGTTTCCCCTGTGCTGTTTCCAAGTGGGGAAGCTTCTAAACCTCTTTTAACAAGCCTGCAGACTTGCCGTCTGCTAGGTCATGTGGTACCTTGCTCATATCAGACAGCATGGACTTTATTCTGTACTTCAAATGTGACCACAATCAAGTGCAACTGATGCATTTTTTTGGAAAGCGATGCCAAGAAGCATTCCCTGTTTGTACAGCTTCTAGCACAATTATCCCGTGCCCCTCTCTGGGGCTCACATATAATATGGGAAAAAGGCCTATAATATGGGAAAAAGAAGAGTATACTGTTCTGTCTTTTTTTTTTAAGTGGATTTATTTTGGAGAATTTTCCCATTTAAAAGAAAAGGGGGGAAGGGGATTTGCAGAAATAACAGTCCTAAATGGATCTGACTTTTCCAGACATTACTGATGTGATTATAGTTGTTCTTGATGGGGACTTTCTTGGCAGTAAGGCTGCAATATCCATTTTTTAGTATGCTTGTGATGCGGAGGTTCCTTGATTAGTGGCCTGCTTTCGTCTTTACCACTTGGTCGTGTCAAAACCATGGTGCTTGTTAGGCGATGTTAGTAGAAAACATGCAAACAGCTTTTCCCTTTGGATGTGATGCAATATATTAACAATAAGTAAGTAAATTGAAAAAAGTAAGAAGTCAGCAATGCATTGCCATCCAGTAACATGCATTTGACACCTTTTCTGTATCAACATTTTAACAGAGCGTGAATGATTGCCTCTTTTCTTTACAGGTAGACCTTGCCAATTTGTACATCAAGACTGGCGCCAAGAACATGCCCACAGTGTTTTTGCTGACAGATGCCCAGGTTACAGATGAACGCTTTCTTGTGCTGATTAATGACTTGTTGGCATCAGGTGATTAGACCAACACAGTTCTTGAAAAATCTTCTCCAGTGACAAACGATCTGTGGTTTCAGTGAACTTTAAAGAGGTTATTTGTCTTTTAAATATTTGTAGGGGGAGCCTTTAGAGAAGCTACATCAATCCAGCCAACTTGAGCATTGAGTCTGACTTGCTTAAGAAGGCATTGCCCGGTGAGGAGACAAATTGTTAAGGCCTATCATTCATAACTGCATGGGCTCGGGGAAGATAGGAATCTCTCTTTCACTTAATGCCATGTCTGCTTTGATATGATTTTACTGACTGTAAGTAATTTCCTCGTGACTGCACAAGTATAACGGACAGTAATACAGCTTCACCCATGTTTTGAAAATTAGAGAATCTAGATTCTAAATGTGGGGATCTGGAGAGAGGAAGGAAAGAAATAGGAATAAACCCATTCTGTACAGTTAGGTGGAGAGACTCCTGAAAGATTTTTTTTTTTTCAATTGTGATTTCATTTTTGCAGACAGTCAGGAAGAAAAATTTTTGAACAACCTGAGAGAAAGGGAACCACTGTTCCATGAGGTGCGTCATTTATGAGTGAACTTCCTATCAGGACAAATACTTCTGCTTTGGGAAAACAATGTTTTTTCCTCTCTCTTAAAATAAAAATTGTTCTCTTTAGGTAAAAAGGCTTGGAGAACAGAAGGAAACTTATTTGTTATATCTGTTGTCATAGCATGGCTCTCTTTCTGTGCCTAGACCCCGCTGTGCTACATACTGTGTAGAAATTACCCTTAATGTACTGTGGAAGGCTTCTCCTAACTATTCCTTTGTCTTTTTTGCAGGAGAGATTCCACATCTGTTCAGTAATGGAGGGCAGAGTTACAGGAATTAGGAGAGAAGTCCAAGGCCTGAGACTAACTGGCACTAGAGAAAACTGCTGGAGATTGTTTTTGGGTAGAGTGTGGCGACAATTAAAAGTAAGCCCCTCTGGAATATCTGAGGGGAGAGAAGCAGTAGTGAGCTGGGTAAAGTTACAGGATATTTCAGCTGTCGCAGGACCTTGCATGTGTAAACATACTCCTCTGAAAAGACCTACTTTGCGACATTGGTGACACCAATGTTATGTTTACGTGGCATTTCTTCATACACAAGAATCCCACATTAATGTTGCACACTCCAGGCCTAGTTTTCTCTAACCCTGTGACCGTTGAAATTAATGGAACTTTTAGCTCTCCAAGGATTTCTGGACCGCCAGTGTAACACTATATGAATATATGTAGATAGCTACAGGAGAAGTCATTGACTGATAGGTTGCCCTGGCTTAAAATAAATCTTTGCTAATTTGAGGAGTTTTTTTTACATGACGATACTACTGAGTTAGGTGAGTGAAGACATACATTTACCTCTTTCAATTTACCCCATAACAGCGCTCTCTCTACAGTTTGACAAATTTTACTCCTCATGTTGGCTATTGACTCCCTGTCTGATCATAGGAAAGTCAATTGCTCGGTGCCCTAGTTTCATGGTCTTGTTTTTAGAATATCATGATGCATTTCAGAGAGGTGTGAGATGCTAACAGGGAGTTTATGTGGTGTGGCTAGTGTGATTGTAGAGACATTCACTGATTACCCATATAGAAAATTGTTTTGCATAGTCAGCTCTTAAATATTTGCACTAGTGTCTGAAATGTCACAGTAAACGTTAATTCTTTCTACTTCCCATGCCTTTTAAAACATGGGAACATAAATATCGCCATGTAGCTGTTTTTAGGTCAAAAGCTGTTTAACAATATACATCAACACGATACCGCAGTTGTAACCAGTGAAGATAATTCTGTCTCCTTTAGAACTTCTTTGGGGAGGCAATGTTATTTAGGTAGATTATAGTTCTTGCTACTGAAAACTGGAAAGCAGAAGCCAGGCACACTAGTCTTGGAAAGGAATTGTTAGCAACTTTTGATTTTCTGCCAGCTTCACTTTCACACATCACCTGAAATGTCTGTGTAGCTGGTGCTTCAAAAGTCTGAAAATTATTAGCCCTTTAAAAAGAAAATTTTTGAGAGGAATATATACCCCACACTTTGGATATTAAACTGATCTGTGTGAATGGGGATGAAGAGCCTTCCTGCGCCAGAGTATTCCACAGTTGTCTGCTGTGTGGGTTTTTTGCTCCTTCTTTTCAAATGCTTAACCACCACTGATCTAAAGATCATTCCTATTTGGTTATAAGATTTTCAAGTTCTTGCACTTTATAACATATACCTTTCTCTTTTGGATTGGTTTTTTTCTTCTGTTTTTTCCTTTCCTGCTTTAGTTTTGTTTTGCTTCAGTTCCCTCCCATCTCCTATTTCACTGCCGTCACTTCCATCTCCCCACAGATTTCTTCTGTAACTTAAAGGCTGGTGGAGACTTATAAAGGATTTAGTGAGACATATTCTGTACTGTTTTTATTTGTCTCAACTTCAGTGACATGGTGAAATGGAGTGGTACTTACCTTGTCTATATCTAGCTCTTGTCAGTGCTATTAGTGTCTGTTTCATGACCATTGCATTTGTGTACATTTTTTAAGAACAGACAGGAAAAAAATCTGATGTCTAATAGCTCTTTTTATTTTCTTCTTCCTCATTTCTTTCCCTTTGTGTGTTCCTTATCTCCTCTACAACTGTGGGTTTTTTTAAAGGCCTTTTTAAAAGGCGGCTTTCAAATGCCTTTTACCTTGAGACCATTTCACCAGTCCCCCACTGTGGAAATTAGCACTTCTGGAGGCAAGAACAGGAGCTATCTATTCATGTTTCGGAGAAGCAAAGTTGAGACATTGTAGTACTGAAGGAGACATAAATTTCATGAGTTAACACACTGGCAGACATCCGTATGGACTTCTGATTAGTGCAGGGTGACCTACCACTTCTTCCTATCCCTAGATTTGTAGAATAAAAGACTAATAAAATGTGAAAGAGAACAAAAGGGACAATTTAGATAATTTCAGAATGTTAAAGCTTAGTGATATAGTTCCATTTTGCCATTTCATTAAAAAGAATCAACATTCTGTGTTAAGCCATACTTCCCTTGTGCTCACCATCTATCTGATATATAGCCTACAGTCGGGTTTATGATAAGGAATCCGTAGCCCAGGAACGCAAACTATGCAGTCGAATTCTTTGAACTACTGTAGTTATTTTTTCATGTGTTGTTCTTGTTTTGATTGTTTTCAGTCTGGAACTTGCAATCAATTCTGCTGTTAACATACTGAGAACATGCTATTTATGTAGGTGTAAATGCATATGGGTGTAAATTGGAGGTATGCCTATTGAAGACAAGGGAGTTGCACCATTATAAAATATGGGTCCACAACTGAAGTATGTATGGGGACACATTTGCACCTGAGGATTTCAAAAACATTGATGATGTATGATGAAATAAATTAAAAAGGAAGAATGTAGCTTAAGCAAATACAGCTGATGGTCAGACATTGTAAATGGTAATGTGCTGACAGGGCTAGGCATGTTCTTGCAGAGACTGGGAGGTTTTTAATGCTCATAATGATTTACTGGAGCCCCCGAAGTTTTTCGGTAATCCACGTATCTGTGTGGCAACTGTTCTTAAATACTCTGTAATTTACCAGAATTTCTTAGAAAAGTAAAGGCAAGAGGAAGCAGCTATTCCTCAAAAGCATGGATATGAGGCGTGATCAGCCAGTGCTTGTATAGATGCTGAACTGCTTTCCCTTGGTCTCCATCTGATTGTCTTATTCCCTTGGTCTGAGCAAGCTGCACCTCCTTTAAATTTTTTCCCAGAAATTGAACTGCAGGGCCTTATGCCTTAGGGCCCCCATGTCCTACACAAACATACTCTTAAACTTCATTTTCAGTAAAATACTCTTTCCAGCATTTTATCCTTGCAGATTTTCTGAGTTCTATATTTCTCACCAGCTTATCTCAGTTTCCTCAGTGCTCTTAAAAATTGTTATATCTTATAAAGCCATATATATTTATTATATGGCTTTTCTTCTGAACTGTGGGGATCTCAGTTTGTCAGTCCCTGTACAGCCAGTTTTCTTTTGCTTGAGTTGGTGATCTATACTACAAATGCTTTTCTTTCTTGAACAAGTTTCCTTATTGTCTATTTTTCTCCTGTTTCCAAGTTTACAGTCCCTTAGCGTTGGTTGTTGTTGAGTCCCAGCATTAACATCTAAATCTTGTTGCTGATTTTAGGGGAATGCTATTTCTCCAGTTCTTTTCCAGTAACCAAATTGGGTCTAGCCATCACATTCTCATAAAGTTCTCCTACTTGAGTGGAGACCATCAATATTTAAAGACTTACCATTGCCCCAAGTGTGAGAGAATACCTTGCGTACTCTTGTCAATATTTAGTTGACTCCCCATCTTCTAAGGAACTCAGCAGAGCAGCAGTTTCATGCTTCAACCAGAATTAATGTCACACACAGGCAGGCACCCTGTATCGCCACAGGCAATCTTGTCCTTTTTTTTTTATTTTTTTATTTTTTTAATCATTGCCTTTCATTCCCAAACCTTCTTTCATCGAGACATGTTAGCCTTTTCCTTATTTCATTTCACAACTGACAGCATATCTCTTTTGTCTGTGAAGCACAGCAGAGGAATTTGTTCGGCCTGGCTTTCAGCCAACTGTCATGTTTGTTCCTTCAAGGGGATAAATACACGTGGCTACAAACAGCTCGAACGCTTTAATCACGGCAAAAGAGAACCAGGCTTTTAGGGTTTCTGGTTCTATGTTAAAGACTAATATTAGCCCAGATTAGATTATTTTTGTCTGGTTCATAGGGAAATAGGGTTTCAAGAGATTGTGCTGTCTACCACTTGATCAGTCCCACTTCCCAAACAATTTTTGAACTCATCAACTAATTTCAAGCAAATTTGAAGGAAGTTCTTACAAACTTAGTGACAGGAGGCAGGTAGATCACAAAAAGGCACAGTTACTGCTCCCCCGTTGAATGAAGAATCAGTTATATTATTAAATAGCCAAGAAGCTGTCCAGGATTTTTAAATTCTACAGCTTACAAAACAGCTTCTTCTGTAGTTGGCAGATGCTTATAGAGTTTCTCTTTCTCCATGAAAAGCTCCAGGCCTGTCTCATTTGGATGTAAGCCGTTTCTCTTCTTGAGTACTGCAGAGAGCTGATTTCTAAGGATGAATCTATGTTAGTAAATTTGTGAGGACGTTTTGTGGTCCTGAGGACTAATGGCATGATCTGGTAGGCATACATATGACCTAACTTTTCCCTTGCTCTCCTCACACAAAAAGGTGGCTTCACTGGAGAACCTGTCAGGAATATTGCCTGGTCTGTGCAATCTTCCTACTCCTGCTGCAATGCTCATGCTGGAGAGTGTGCTGACACTGGAAAAGGATGGGCAGTGTTAGGCCAGTGGTCAAGCCTGTGCCTTGGCCCAGGCCCACTTTAGTTCATTAGTATTAAGATAAACTGTTTACCTCTCCTGTTCTGTTGGAATCACTCCATGAATCTAGAGATCTTGCATGTCTCAGATGAGCAGGAAGAGGTTGAGCTGAGCAATAATGTAAGAAATGCACATACATGGGGAAAGTGACATGGGAGTGCAAGACTTGAAGAGGACATTTGAAAGAAGAGGTTTCTGTGTTTTCTTAGCAGTGGCGAATGCTATTAATACATGAAAATTAACTTTGGTTTCGCATGATATCCGTTCTTTCATCCACACTTAACCATCTTTATTATGCAGTCACGCTAATTTAAATCTTAAAAATGTCAGATGAAAGACTCCTGCGTACTCCATTTCAATCTACATTTCTTTCACATAAAAGGATGGATGTATCTTGGAGAACTTCTTAAAACTTTCTATTACTAAATGAACACCCTTGATGTAACTTTTATATCCTGGTTGCCTGCAAGAAATGAAGCATATATTACATGACACATTTCCTATTCCTTTTTTTCTTTTTTTTTTTTTCATCTGCCAAAGTAGACTATCGTTTGTGCCCTGGGCAGAAGATAAATATTTTAAAAATATGAGCTCCTTGCTTAAGAAAAGACTGATTTAAATGTAGTGAGTGATAATTACTGATTTTTCTCCCACTTGTTATCAGATCATATAGCATTTTCATTAGTCTGCTTGCAAAGCAAGCGAATGTATAAGGTTCTTTATAATAGTGGGAATTCAGTGGGGAGAATGCAAATGATTCCTGAAAATGTACCATATCAAATCCTTGCCTAGTGTGAATTGACCAAACTTCACTAAAACCAAAGGCGCTAGCAGGGCTTATGCATAGCGAGGATCTGGCTACCTGCCATTTCTGACCATCTTTTTAAGCGTATACTGTGCCTGTATCATGCACAAAATGTGATTAATAGACATAGATATTTAATTAGAGTGGTACAGTGTAGTCAAGGCTGTACTGGAATTTCCTGTCTAACAATATAATGTAGTAAAAGTCATTCAGTTGTAACTTTGTGTTTTAGAGAAAAGTAGTGGAAATTATACATCTCAGCGTATTTGAATTTGAGCCCTAGAAATAGCTATTCCAAGAAGTAATTTAATTTAAGGGATTGAGAAATTGCTCTTCTAAACTTTGTCCTGACATGATAATGTTCAAAGTTTTTGTGTAGGTAGCTAATTTTACCCCTTGTTACTGTCTTTATTGGAATTAATTGTCTTTTTTGATTCCCCTCAAGGTTTCTAGGACTCGGATCTGCTGCTGTTCTCTTTATTATTGGTTTTTGCAGATCCCCTCATCTATTCCCCATCTTTTTAGCCTTCGGAGCTGTTCTTTTCAACTGTCATCATCTTCTACTTTGAAATTGACGCTTTTGAAATAACAGCAGGGTATCTGAATATGATTGGTCCATCCTCATGTCATGTATACTTAGTTCGCCTGCCTTTAAATTAGCTATTTTGGGGGATGTTCACGGTGTAGTTATGATAGCTAAGACCAACGTATAAGTACGTTACCCTTTTTCTTGGTTGGGTTTTCCAGACAAATAATCCTGCTAGGACTAATGTGTGCCCTATACTTCTTGCAAAGATGATCAATAGGCCTCACTTATCATTCTTCACAAGTTTTGCTTGATGTACTGTTGCTTCAACCATTTTTCTCATCTCTGGCTTCACTCATTACTTGGTTCACCCTCTGTTCTTTACTCACTTACTATAGAATATTTGAGAGGCTTTTGTGTCCTGTGATAACCCATATGAGCTCTAGCACAGTACTGTGCTGGATATGCACGGAGATCAGGTCAAAGATTAGAACATACTACTGGAATGTAATTTTTATAAGAATTTTTTTGAGGGGTGGCCAAAGGTAAGGGGATAAGAGATGGTTTCTGGGTATGATGTAGTAAATCTTAGGATTCAGATGCTAGGAGAAAGTTAAAAGTAAACAATCCTGAAAGGTCAGCGTTACCTTGTCATGGATCTGCGCTGTGTGTAAACTAATGCAACTCCTTATAGATACAAGTAGTTCTTTTGAATCACTCCTACCAAAGGGCTTTGCATAGAGAAAGTACTTTCTCCTTTGAAGTTCAACTTAAGATTGATGTAAATAGGACATGGATAGTAATAATTATTCCATCCAAACAATTATGTTTAATATTTAGGAAGGATAAAATGTTACTTAGGGTAAAAGATAGGAAAATACTAAATTCCAATTTAAGTTTGGCAACAAGTCCAAGACTTTGATTTTGACTGTCCTTGCAGTCCAGTAATTAGAGAGTTAAGTCAGAATGCATGTGAGCAGTGTAGGAGGGTGGAGGAAACGTAACTTCTAACAAGACTGTGGTGTACAGCTTGGCACCGTTGCCATAGCAAGGGCACGTGGAAGAGCGACATCAAAGAGGGGACAGATACCTATATGCTGCTACCATAACAGGGATGGCCTGCAGATCTGTGAAGATAGCAGCTAGAGGAGGAGAAAAATGCAGTGCCCTAAGCATCAAAATCTCTCTCTGCATCTCACTTTAATATTATAATTGAATATAGATTTTCATCAGAAAATGAGGTGACATGAATGAGAGGGAGAGGGAATATTTAACTTAAGGATACACAGTATAACGGAGGAGAAACTTCAGAGCTCTGAGAAGCATCCAGGACTTTGACAGTCCTGAAATAGACCTAGCAGATTCTTAGCCTACTTTTCTTCCCTGATTCAAAGTTTACAGGGGAGGGAGAAGGTAGCATTTCAGTGGTGTCACGTAAGAGACCATTTATCCTTACATATTTTGGTTGTTTCTCCTTTGTTGGCCCTCCTTTCTCACTAGCCTGGTGAGATTTTGCTGTAAATTCCAAGATCTTTTTGTGAAATTTGTATGATTTTAGCTTAGCATTCACTACCTTGCTAGGAAATCTTCCTACATGAACTCTTCTGCCGTTGGCCTTCTCACACTGATCGTATTCAACATAGATGACATATTTTCTTCTGCACCCTTGGACCACCTTGCCTGTCGGCCAGGTAACGTAATGTCCCTAGATACCCTGACCTTCAGTTGCCCTTTTGCATGGGCATAGAGTGAAGGCTGTATTTCTGCCACAACCCTTAAAGAGGGGGCAAGACGTTATCTTCTTGCAACTGTGAGAAAATGCACTGCTACTTGTAATTTTTGCAGCAGTTGAAGGTCATATATGATTTGAAACCCTTGTTTTCTGTTGCTGACACACTCTCAAGTACTTCCCTAGACAAATATGCAAATGACCTGTTGTTAGAAGAATTTTAGGTTCATGTGAGAGACATGAACCTATCAGTAATGACAATAAACTAGATCAACAGGGGGACCAGAATAATCATAGTAATTCAAAACTGTGGTTTAACATGGAATAGCCCTCCACATCATCTTCCATGAGACAGAGAAGAAACGTACTATGAGGTCCCATAGCTATAGGAAGCTGGCAGGGATGTTGGAAACAGAATAGCTTACTAGTGAATACCCTGCATTTAGAAATATAAAGAAGTAAACGGGCTAAAAAATGGTGGAATGTGCAAAAAAAAAACAGACAGCGCGGTCTAAGGTATGGGTTTGGGGACTTTCATTTCATTTATTTTATGTTTATGGTTCACCCACCAGTAAAGATTTCAGTGAGTTGCTTTCTGGTTTTGCCCCATTCAGTATTTTAGTCTGTATCATTTCCTTGTCATTCTGTGGAAGGCCACCTGTTGCCTCTGCTTGCCCTTCTTGCTTCTTTCCTCTTATCTTTTTCAGCTTTCTTTCTCTTCTTTTTCTTTTATGATTGTTTTTCACTTCTGTCTTTCACCACTTCCATTTCCAGAGTGACTTTGTGCAGCCATGAGAAAGAAGGTTTTTGTGAGTTACAAACTGACGAGTGCTAGTGGCCAGTGGCTATTTATTAATTGATTTTGCTGAAAAGAGTAGGAATAAAAAAGGATATTTCCTGTGGTCCTGCATAAAATGCAAGCTCTACAAAGTTGTAAGTGTCCCAGGAGAAGTTTCTGTCCCACAGCATTTCCTGAGTGACAGAAATTTGCTTGCTTTAACTGTGTACTACTGAAAAATATTAATCTCTGCTCGTAACTAATGGTTAATTACAGCTAATTGTTCCTTGTGTTTTCCAGCTCAGAGACGTAGTTTTAAAAAATATGAGATAGTAGCAAGTATTTTCCATTTTCCAGGTAATCTCCTTTCGAAACACTCCTTTCTGACTGTTCCAAAACCCAGTGAAATATTTTCTCAGGTTAAACTCCTTCATTCCCTTTTCTTCCTTTAGTCCTCTACTCATTTTTTTTTTCTAGACAGTTTTCTGTTAACAGTTAACTCCAGAGACAGAGGATATAGCTGTCACCTCCCTGCTGTACCCCACTAGGCTTTGTCCTGGTTTCTGTGGTTGTTGGGGAAGTGATCATCTGTTCTGATTACATTTGAATATTTTTTGACTGAAAACAACAATATTGATACCACATAGTCTGAGGTACTCCTGTATAGAAAAAACAATTTGTTTCGATAGAAAAGCATAGGAGAGAGTCCATTCCTGTCGTAAACAGTCCAAACCCTTTCACTTTGCTAATTAGCCAAAACCAAACCCAAAATACATGATATTTGCAGTAAGTAGACCATAGATAACAACTGAGAGGCTAAAATAATCCTTCCTTCCCAAATGTCAGTTGCTTTAGGTAGGCTTGGTTATATTAACAGTCAAACACAGAATTATTTTTCTTTGAATGTTTTAGCCTTGTTTGGACATCCTCTTCCACGTTCTGTGAAGAATAGCCCCTAAAAATTCACATACAGACTAGGAAGGATCCTGTGCTCATTTCCTTCACGTTCTTTTAATAGAGTTGCAGTGAATATTGAAATGGCTTTAAAAGATTGAGAAACTCAAGAACTATTGTGTCACAGTGACCAACTGCATGTATGCCTTGTAGCTGTCTCCGTGCCAGCAGGTCTTTGTGGCTGCATTTATATTTATAGTTACCCAACAAAGTAACTGCTAGCAACCTGGGGAGAGGGGAAGGAAGCCGTAAGTACACTCCGTTTGTATGGTAGAGAGTGAGTAAAACCTATTTGCCCCAAGTAAATTCTAGTTGACTAAGTTTATTAACTGCTGATTGGGTCTGGAAGTTCAGCTGTGAGCTGGCTTGCTCCAGCTCTGGGCCATGGTTCATTGCATTCCTTTCTTTGATCGCCTCAACCTCCCCTGCAATTCTTTCTTCTCTCTTTTCCTTCCTCATCTCCACAGACCGTTCTGTGTTTCTCTCCAGTTGGTACCACGCTGAGAGCTCGAGCTCGGAAGTTCCCAGCCATAGTTAACTGCACCGCTATTGACTGGTTTCATGAGTGGCCGCAGGAGGCCCTGCGCTCCACCAGCAGGAGGTTCATTGAGGAAACAGAGGGGACTGAGGGACAGGTTTTCAAGCTCGTCAGTCGTTGAAGAAAGCAACAGAGGTCGTTGAAAGATCAATAACTGAATAAGCTGAAAAAACAATTTCCTTTTTGCTCCTTCTTGCATATTTGTTGTCTTCAATGTTCTTAAAGCTCACCCCTTCCCAAAGCTGCATTCTTATGGCATGTCACAACCCACTTCCATCCGCAGAATTTAGAGAGCTCCCCAGCACAGGCAGAAGGGAAGCAGGAAAAGAAAAATGTGTGTAACTCATAGCGCTATATCTTCTCTGCAGAATCCCTTAGTTCTAGACAATTTAGGATCTCTTGGATTTGGAATTTATTTAACCCCTTTCAGTACAGTTAGATATATTTACTAGTGCTGTAGGAAGTGAGGCTGAAATATTGCAGTGTACAGCCCAGCCTAACTAAAGAATAAGTACCAGTTAGTTGCTCTATTCAGCAACTAGATGGGTGAAAACTTCCCTAGAAGCCACACAACAAATGCATTTAGCATTTTCATTTCTGAATAATTATTCCATCTTTTTTCCTGATCATTGTGGAGTTTGGCTTTTGGATTGCTTTCAAAGCATTCATATACCAGTGAGTCTCTTTTCAAGCTTTGAAGGAAATGATTCCTTAGCCTAAGAGTTTTAGTTTATTCTCTTCTAATTCTCTTCTCTCTATTAAAACTCTTTTAAGAGTTTTAATAAACTGTCACTGTTTCCCCACCCTCTTTGCTCTCACTGTTGTGCTAGTGGTGAGATTGCTCAAGTATTTGCTGATGGAATTAGTTGCAGTAGTTTCATTCTGGAGTGCTATTATGATTGGGATCATTCAGTTGTGTAAAGGATATG